TTTTAAATAATTGCTAAAAGCTTCATTGGCCAAAAAATTAACTTTTGACAAAAAAAATCACTGTTTTTTGATCCTGACACAAAATGACTAGCTAACATTAATTGATTAATCATATCAGCAGCACATATGAAAGTGTGAATGAGTACTAGTCAGGTGAAATCACTATCATACTAATTAGATTGTAAGAGCAGACTGATAGCTATAAAAGGAGGGAAGAATTGCTTCCAATCATCGTGTTCTTGTTAGCAATGGTTACCGCCAAAGAAACACGTGCAGCCACCATCATAGCTTTGCATCAAAATGTCCTCACATGCAAGGAAATTGCTTCAAAGAATATTGCACCTGAAAGAACCATTTACCGGATCATCAAGAACTTCAAGGAGAAAGGTTCGACTGCAGTGAAGAAGTCTTCAGGACGTCCCAGAGTGTCCAGCAAGTGCCAGGACCGTCTCCTCCTGAGGAGTCAGCTACGGAATCGTGTCACCAGCAGTGCAGAGCTTGCTCAGGAACGGCAGCAGGTTGGTGTGAGAGCATCTGCACGCACAGCGAGATGAAGACTTTTGGACAACGGCCTGGTGTCAAGAAGGGCAGAAAAGAAGTCACTTCTCTCCAAGAAAAACATGAAGGACAGACTGAAATTCTGCAGGAAGTACAAGGATTGGACAGCAGAAGGCTGGTGCAAAGTTATTTTCTCTGATGAAGCTCCCTTCAGACTGTTTGGGACATCTGGAAAAAGGGGATGCACATAGAGAGCCTCCACGTGGCGCATCCTGGAAACTCTGACTAACACTCAGAGGCCAATCTCTATACAACCTACAATTACAAGTTATATCAGAAGCTCCACCAGTCTTTATATAATAAACATCAGAATGTCTTCATCTCTAAACCAGAAACACGGGCTCCCCTTAGAGCCGGTTTTGGCAGTTGCATCACTCAACATTGAGGGATACACGATCATGAAGGCAGAAGTAGTAGCGCAACAAAGCAGCAATTAATTATTCCTTTGCTTACAAGAAACGCACCTGAAGCCCACTAGTAGAAGACCAATTATCCCAGGCATGAAGCTTGCTGCCGAAATCAGACATGAAAATTATGGCTCAGCAATTTTTGCCAAACCATCATTGCTTATAGAAAATACCTACATTAACTGCTCTGACAATAATATTTAAACTATTACCATCTCTCTTGCTAACATCTCCATAACGTCAGTCTACAAACTACCAAGCTCCACCTTTGAATGGAACAACATCCCACTACACTGCCAGAGAAAACACCAAATATTCATTGGAGACTTCAACTTCCACAGCATAGCTTGGGGCTACCGGGACTCAAACGCAAACGGCAACCTGGTAGAAGAATGGGCTCAGGTTAAACGTCTAACATTAGTACATGATGCCAAGTTACCACCATCTTTTAACAGTGGCAGATGGAAACGTGTCTATAATATATGGACATATGTTTTACCAGCACTTGCTAACATCTCCATAACGTCAGTCTACAAACTACCAAGCTCCACCTTTGAATGG